GTATGGTTTAATTTTTATGCGTGATGAAAGTCAAAGTTCTGTAACATTCACTCATTTTTGCTCGGTACTGTATGTCTATGTGTGATTTTCTTGTGTAAGCAGAAAGACGCGAAGAATTTTTGTGAAATATCAATTCTTCAAAGAGTTCATGGGATTTCGTAGTGAAGTTTTTCAAGATATACATAACAATGAAATTTAATACTCTAGTGTTGACAATCCTTGCGGTGTCCTTTATTTGTCGAAATAAATTGACCGCAGCAATGTAAAGTAGCTCATTGATGTACTTAAGATCTATAAGTATTTAATAATAGTAGTAGAAAATTGTGCGTATCAACAGCATAATTACCGCAGTAAAGCTTTGGAGAGATAATGTTGAAAACTTAAAAGTCGTTATCCTTATAGGTCGCTGACTACAAAGAATCATATACTTCAAATTTTTGAGAAACTCTCGGTTGTACGAAATTTCTTCCCATCTGCAGTTATATAAGTGCCATGCTGTGATTAATGACTGCAACGAAGTAAGAAAATAAATTATTGAATAGTTATATAAACAAAACTAAAAACCCTAGTTGGTGGTGCTCGATTGGGAATTTGTAAAAATGTTCATCATGCAAATCACCTGTTTTTATGCTCTTAAACCATTAAGAATGGGTTATGAATCAGGTTATATTGTTGGTTTTAAATGTATAAAGGTAGAAGGAGCCGTGGACGACTTTGCTCGGGGCGACAAAGTGACTTGATGTACCCCTGTTTATTTGTCCGTATGCTGGAGCGCTTCGACCTCAGAAGCTATAGAATCTAGAGAATTGGATATTTATGTCGTAAGCCCGTAAATCCGCATACAGAGCTTGATTCCCAAAAACTTGATCATCTTTAGAGATAGATATCCAAATTTTAAATGTAGACTTATATGTATTTTATACATTATCGGTTTTTGTCAAAATTTACCCCCCACTTTTAATTCACTCCCTCACCATCACCTTTGTTAAAGGCGTATTTCAAGTACTAGAGACTTGTGCATGCAAATATTGGCTGATGCAATATGACACTACACCGACACTACAACCACACGCATAAGTACGACGACACACAGAAAAGGGAAAATATGCGAGTAGGTAGTAAGCACAATTACAGTGCGCGCCAACATATTAATACTACTTGCTTCGACACGGCCATCCTGACATTAACACGCCCTCGTGTATGAAATAATAACATTTAAGTCTTTATTTTCTTGTTTCTTCAAATTTCTTCTTTTCTTCTTCTTTTTTTTCAACCAAACGATATACATAATTCTATATAAAAATCAAACTTCCTTTCATGTGATTTCTTAACTGGTATTAACTTATCATTCTA